TCCTTGAGTGTGGTGGTTTCCAATCCCAGGAGTCAAGTAAACTTGATTTTTCGTTCAAAAGTTCTGGATTTCACGGCTAAACTATTTTCTGGGAGCAGAGGAGTTGCTTCACTTTCCCGGGATGCATATGTTAGGTCCTTTTAAAAGGGAAGGAAATTGATGGTACTACTCCTGTTGATCATATTTTGAACTAATTTTACTATTGATATTATTGTTTTTAAGTTAACCGGCAAATATATGACAGTATTCCTAAAAAATAAGGTTTAAAAACTTTCCCTCCCCATCATTTTTAACTAGTGTTTATGTTCTGATCAGAGTAAATAAGCGCCGCACACAGGGGCGCCTTTTTTTAAACCCGATTCACGTTTAGCATTTATTTAAAGTTTGTTTGCAGTCATCATCGCTGCAGTACTTGAATTTGCGCTATACATCACTTTCGGATCGTGCGATACCAGTACTAGCGCGAACATTACGCTCCCAACCATCGCTGACGATTCTACACCTGGAAAACGTTTCTCTGGCCGGACGAAACCTGATTCTAGTTGGTTAGTGGTAGAATTTATGAATATTCACAGCAACATAGACTCATAATTCGAAGTTTGATTGCCCCTGATTCGGCAACAATTTCTGAATAATTCTAGACCCGAAGACTCATGTGACATATGCTTTCTGATAGACAGTAGTTTGAGATTCTCTGAGATGTTCTAGAAAATCTATGTTTTGGATTCTTACAAGCCATATTTGATGTTGATGGCTGAAATTGAAGTTTTTTGGTCTTTAATTATGCGCAGTTCCACTTTCTAGTCATAAAGAGCAATAGCGATCTTGGCGAAGAACACGGCAGTCTTAGTGATATCCCCGTTGAGTCGTAAAATGCCTCACATGCAAGTCAGCCCTATGCGCATGTTCAGAGTGGAAAAAGACTAGTCGCAAGTAACAGCATTTCGCAAGACCGTAAGTAAGTATGTGGCAGAATATTCGTTCGTGATGTTAGAATTGCTTGAAGCATCATACGCGTTGCCCACTGCTTGTAAGCAAAGCGCACGAATTGAAGGCTCGATGAGTTTTCTGTCTTACCCTTGGCGGGGTATCTTGCTCACCATTCATATCACAGTGTGGTATCTTACTAAGAAAAAGTGGGTCGTGGTTTGGTGTGTATGTATAGCACTAAAAATGCTGCACACTGTGTAGAGCGTCTATAATGAAAGGCGTAACATCGGATAAAAAATAGTTGTGTCGTGCGACCGATTACAGATCAGCTTATTATTAACTAATTTTTATTTAGCACAGTGATCGAAACATCTGAAAATGACCTAAATTAGGTCGTGTCGGAGAAACCCGGACCGAAGAAGAAGCCGTAATATTTGCACTTTGTCTCAAAAAGTAGTAGAATCTGTTTTAGGCTGTGCACTGAAGACGAATACGGTGCTCCGCGAACTTTATTTGGGTGATAATAATCTACAAGCTGCTGACGGCGCACATATCTATCAACTGATAATTTCAAATGTTTCTATACAGCTGCTTGATTTAAGAAACAATCAGTTGCAGGTTTATTTTATATAAATTTCGAATTAGTGGGACTTCCGGCAATACCGTACTATGGTTTGCTTTTTAGCATGTCTCACCATTACATTTGCCACACGATTCTCAGAATTTTGTGAAATGTAGTTGGGTTCTAATTCGTTTCCTTTGGAGAGCGCGCGTCAGTGAAGTGCTTCTTACCTGGAAATTTGCGTGGTGGCGCCGCTTTCACAGGGCTTATATTAATCCCATAATGCTGTTTTCTGAGCACATGTGCAATGTTACATGATATTTTCGAAAAAAATCCGGTGTTCGTACGCCGAAGTAGTCTAAAGCCCAGGTCGCCTACTAAAAGCAGCCTGAAGCAACCCTCTGAGTCGGGGTTCGTGTCTTATTTTGCTACAAGCTTCCAGCGTTCATTTTTTCTTTCACGAAGCGAAATGTGAACTGAATAAGAACGAGCACCAGCAATTTTCTTTTCATAGTAACAAAGGCATCAGTCTCTTGAGGTGCTACTTATGCGTGGAAACTTTTGCCCCACCTATGTTTCCATCTGTGGATTATTCCCCGTCTCTTCTTGGAAGTGGAAACTGCCTCACGATTATATCGAACAGTTTTGCTACTTACGAAATTGCCGTTACTGGTTCCTTGGACGGAGAACTAGGGGGTTTCCAATTAGTGAAATATTGAGGATTCTTCACGGATGTTCTAACTCCAGGATGGCGGCCTTCGTCATATTTGTGATGCGTTAAAACATCGCGATACGACCAAACACAGTGCATTATCAGCATTGGTATTATGGAATAACCGTATAACAAGTGCTGGATTGGAAGCCTTGGCACAGGCACTGGTTGGTTAACTGTTGCATTGGAATTCGGAGGAGGCTAATGAAAATTTTCGCAGAAACTGATTAGATCGCTATTTCAGTACATTTGGATGCTCCATTTACGGTTCGCCCACAAGCTAGCGCAGTAGTGCAACCGGGATTTTCTTCTAGAGCATTGGACACCTTTAAAATTTTGATTATGACAAATGGGAAAATACAGTCAATAAACTTATGTTATTATTTATTTCCACGAAGAAGTAAGCAATTACAATAATTGGCCAACGCACGGGCTGCCTGCGCGAATATGCGTTTTTTTGCATAATTCGTCGCA